TGCTAAACACAAAAGTGAAAAAAACAACAAAAAAATGTTCTGAGAATTTCCAATAAAAATATTAATTTGGTTTGCTTCATTTAGACCTTAAGAAAGCTTTAATAAAAAAGAAAGGAGAGCGGGGAAGGGAAGGAGAGAGGGAGGGTGGGAGGGGAGAAGGGAAGGAAATCCCCTCACAGGCTGGGGGCGTAGGGTGTGTCCTAGCTGAGGACCCAGAGACACATCACCACTTCCTCCTGAAGGGCCAACAGAGGAGAGGGCAGGACACGGCGGGAGACCTGATCCCCCCTGACTCCCAGACGTGGCATCAGCACCCTCTACACCCAGCCTGGTGGGGCTTGGGCTCCATGACGGTGCTGTCCACTGGGGAAGGAGCAGCATTCTGGAGGGACAGGCTGCCCTCCCCTCCCTCACCCCTGGCACTCCCTTCCCCCATCCGGGCCCCCAGGAGTGTCCGTGGCTGGACCTTCTGAGCTGTGTTGTGCCCAGGCTTTGTCCAGTCACCCGTCCAGCACTAACCCCACCCCGCAGACCACTCTCCAGGTACCATCTGTCCACCTGCCCACCCACTTCAGATGCCCCAGACATTTCCACTGCAAATCTTCCATCTGCGGCTAGAACAGGGGTCTCGTGCCCTCCCCCACAGGGTTGCCCCCTGCATGAGGCCTGGGGGCTTGGCTGGAGCTCTGGCCCATATAGGTCAGGGCCCGAGGCAGCAGGCGCTAACCAGACCTGCCTGTCAGAATCAGCTCAGCAGACTCTCAAGAGTCTTTATCAGATGATTTTTATTACAAAGTAGCACAGGATTGCTTTAAATAAATACTGTAATGCCCAGATGTGTGAACATAAGGTGATAATGCCCCTATATACCCTCCAGATGGCCCCCAAAGATGCTGGTGGTCCTTCTCACATTCTTCTCCCTGGTCATACAGGGAGGGGAAATGTACACACATGTGTGGGCTTCCCCAGAAAACAGAACCACATGGATCCCACTGCCCTGCAACACACTTATCCCACTCACCACGTAACAACCTTCTTCTGGTCAGGAATTAGACATCTAAGTCATTTTTACGTCGCTGCATAATATTCCACACTACAGACCCACCGTGATTTGTGAGCCGTTCTCTGATCGGTGGGCTCCAGGCGTTGTTACAGTTCTTTGCCACCTTGGCTGCTGTACGTGTGAATCCCCAGAATAAATCCAACCATCAGTGTATTTTCCAGTTAATCAGTGTTGCAGATCACATTCCTGAAGACTGTCACCAGCTCTCGTTCTTGCCGGAAAGCACATGTCACTGCCCTGAGCTCTCATCAGCAATGCATGTTAAACACATTTTCATATAATATGTGGCCATTTCCATGTCCTTGTCTCTAAATCACCACTCACGTCTTTGCCCATCTTCCTACAGAATTCTTCACCTTCTTCTTATAACGTGTAGGAGCCTTTTGTAATTAAGAATGAGAACCCTTGGTCTGCCAACATGTTGCTAATGGTTTTTCCAGTTTGTTGATCTTTTGAAAATTGTCGTAGAATATATATAACATAGAATGTGCCATCGTAACCATTCCTGGGTGTACAGGTCGGCGGCAGTGAGCATCTCCACACAGTGTGCGACCGTCACCACCATCATCCCAGAGTCTTCTCCTTCCCAACTGGCCTCGGTCCCCATTAGACATTCAGTCCTCCCCCACCCACTCCCCCAGGCCCTGCCGCCTACTTTCGCTCCACGAATCTGACTACGGGCATACGTGCCTCGGCGACACTGTGGGTTCGAACCAGACCACCATAATGGAGCAAACATCGCCACAGAGCAAGTCGCACACGGTTCCTGGTCTCCCGGTGCATATGGAAGTCACGTTCACACCACACGGAAGCCTACTGAGCATGAAACAGCATTATGTCTGAGAAATGTGCACACCACCCTGGCCTGGTGGCTCAGTTGTTTGGAGCGTCGTCCCGTACACCAAAAGGTTGCAGGTTCGATTCCCAGTCAGGTCATAAACTGAGGTTGCTGGTTTGATCCCTGGTCAGACACATATAGGAGGCAACCAAAAGATGTTTCTCTCTCTTTTTCAAATCAATAAAAACATACCCTCGGGTGAGGATTAAAAAAATGTATGCACCTTAATTAAAAATACTTTATTGCTAAAAAATGCTACCCATCCTCTGAGCCTTTGGCGAGTTGCAACCCTTTTGCGGGTGGCAGGTCTTCCCTTGGGGTTGATGAAAACGTGGCATCTGCAAAGCGCAATCAAGCGAGGGCGGCGTACTCTCTTGGGCTGCATGTAAGTGAAGTCACTCGGTATGTGCCCTCCGTGACAGGCTTGTTTTGCTGATGGCCTTCCTTCGTGAGCCCAGGTGACACCCCGCCGCACGGACAGACCACAGCCTGATGCTTTCGCCTGCCGGTGGACACTGGGCTGCCCGTGTTTCGTGACTGAGAGTGGCGCTGCTATGGATATGGGTGTACAGGCATCTCCGCGTCCCTGATTCCCATTCATCTGAGTGCATACTCAGGATCGCCGCATCTTATGGAAACCTCACGTCTAGTCTTCTGAGAAATTGTCCAACTGCTTTCCACAGTGGCTGCACCACTCTCCATGCCACCCGCAGTGCACAGGGGTCCCCACTACACGCCCTCCACAGTTGTCTCTTCTCTTCTCCTTTGCTATGGTGGCCACCCTCATGGGTGTGCAGTGGTGTGTCTGTCTTTCACTTTTCCTTATTAAGTACAGGTGCCCCTTAAATAACATGGTTTGAACTGCGCGGGTCAACGTATTCTCAACTTTTTTCAATACACAGTCGGCCCTCTGTATCGCTGGGTTTCATATCTGAGTGGTTAACCAGCTGGGGAGCAATCGGGAACAGTATTTTCCTCCTTTGGTTGGGATGCTGGGAGCCTGGGACGCAGAGAGCCGGCTGTATGCTCCACCCCACTTCATGTCAGGGCCTGGAGCATCCTGAGATTTTGGTGTCCACAGGGGTCCTGGAACCAATCCCCTGCAGATACTGAAGAAAAACTATACCTTATCCCACACAACCACTGAATAAGATCTGTTTGGCTTTTGAAAACATATATAAGGTTAACAGAATTATGTATTTCTACCTATATTCCAAGAAAAGGAAGGACAAGGGAAGGGGGAGGGAGAGAGAGAAAGAGACCCTGTGTCTGCCCACAGAACATCCTGGACTGCGCAGTGGCCGGGCCACACCTCTCTGCCTGCCCGCGACAGGCTGAGTCATGCTGTCACCAGTGGCAACCGTAAATCCAGGACAGCACTTTGTTTTCATGCCCCATGAGCTACACACACCGCACATGGTGCTGAGACGGGACGGTGCCTGCTGTCTAGCCCAGCCGGCCCTTGACCGTCCTAGAGAAAATAAACGCTGCCTTTCTCCATGAATCCAGTCCTGTGTGTTTGTATTGACATGTAAATTCCTGTCCTTTTCCCGGGAACCCAAAGCTGTTCCCTGACGTAATGTCAATGCGATTCCAGGGCAGGTGCGGGAAGAAAGCTCAGAGCCTGGCTGTGGCCGCAGGCCTGCTTCCAGTCCAGGACGCGGGGGCCGGCGGGGGGTGGGGGGGAGCAGAGCTGTGGCATCTGTGCTGCCACCATGTCTGCAATCAAATCAAACACACACACCGTTTCCTTCGCAATCACACGTCACTGAGGGCAGATGAGCTATTTTTAAACAAAGTTGTTCTTTCCAAGCTGCTGCCTGTAAGAGCTGCAGGCGCCAGAGCGGAGCCGAGTGAGCGGCCGCCCCTGCGAGAGGGCAGCCTGCCGGAGCCCAGGTGGGCCGGGCCTCCGCGCGGTGAGAGGCCCTGCGGTCACCACTTTCCTGCAGCCTGGTCACTACTGCGCTCACTCTGAACAGAAGTCCCCCCACAGAGGGAGACGCAGAACTGTCCAGCACGGTCAGCCGTTTGAACCCAGGGCCTGCGAGCTGCCAGACAGTCTCGGACCCAGGACTGTTCTCACTGCGAGCTGCTCGGGGCACCTGGTTCTCCTTTCAAACCCTCAAAGGGTCTCAGTTCAGGGGGCTTCCCCGGGACTTGACGAAAGGGTCCCAGCGGCCAAATGTCCTCCGAGAATCAGGCTGTACCCACAGGCACCCAGGTTTCACCGAGAACCAGGATGGGAGTGAGGGCCGCCCGTGCAGGCTGCAAACGCCATGGGCAGGTCCAGGCAGTGACGAAGTCCACCCTCCCCAGACAAGCACCGTACACTGAGGACAGAGGTGGGCAGTGAGTGAGAAGAGAACCCACACTCCCGCTGTCCCCCAGTGCCCCCGGGGTCCCGTGTGCAGACCCAGTTTGACCTTCAGAAAAGCCACCCAGACGGGTGTCCTTTGTGGGTGTCCATGCCCTCCCCTTAGTGTCCGAAGGGCCGCTCTGAAAGCGCAGGCTGCCCCATCCTGGCTAACACACTGTCTTCTTCTTCCAAGAGGCAGCCCTCTGAGCACATCCTTTCTGAGACTCGCAGGGTGGCAGCCTGCTCACCCGCCCACCCAGAGCCCGCTGCTGGGAGGATGCCCTGCTCCGGTGTGTTAGGTCCTGCCTTGCGGACTTTGCCCTCTGCCTGAAAACACGAAGCACCCAACATTTCTTCTTCACCTGCGAGGAGAGGAACACGGAAGCCTGAAGGATGAGACGCTCGCCTACTGGCAGAGAGCAGACCGAGTGGAGTGTGAGGACGTGAGGAGAGCACCTGGGGTCAGAGGGCGGAGGCTCCACGCCAGGGGGTGGATGGTGGGCCACCAGCTCGGCACTGTCAGAGCTCCAGACCCACCACCAGTGTCAAGAAGCTTCTGGTGAAGCCTTAAAACACTGGGACACACACGCATGTAAAGGCAGGTTCCCTCCCCTTCTCAGTAACATCCAACGACGCTCAGGCTATCACATGAAATCACCCTGACCCAGGCCTTCACTCTGCATGGTGGCCTGTCCCTGAAGTTGCCGGGGGGGTGGCCACCTGCTGGCCGAGAGCCTACTCACCATCGACACAGGTCTCGGAGGGTCTGCAAAGGCGATCTTCCAGTAAGCACCCTAGAGGGAGATAGAAAACAGCTGAGTCAGAGCCGCCGAGGAGGGCCCGTCTGCTGGAGGCCGGGCCCCTGCCAACCCCCTGCCAGCCCCCTGCCACACAGGCTCTCTGAGTTCGCTCTTTGAGGTGAACTGGGTCAAGTGGAAGCCAGAACCTGCCCCTGGCTCGAGTCGGTGAGAGGACCGGCTTCTCCATTGGGAGGACACCCACACACATCCTGCCCTCGAACCGTCTGCCTGAGGGACCTTCCAGGTGAGCAGCTGAGGGGCGAGGCGGGCCACCGCCACAGACACCTCCTTGGCGCTGCCAGGGGCCAGACCAGGGGTTCTGTCCGCATCGCCGCCAGGACAGGCCCCGCTGAGCCCACCCCCACTCTGTGACGCCCGGCGTGGACGGCCTGCTCTTGTTACAGAGTAGGAAGGGGATGCAGAACGAGCGCACGGTGAGCATACTGACCCCGTGGAGGCCGGCCGTCAGAGGAGGCAGACACTCTGCTCTGCGTTCTAGTCCACCTTTTTCCCATCAGCGCTCAGCCCCACTATACCCTCTTCCACTTCCACCCACAAGCACCACACTGTTGTCCGTGTCCATGACTTCCTTCTCTTTTTTCTTTCTTGCTCAATCCCACTACCTACCCTCAACATCGCCCCCCAACCACAGCTGCCAGCCAACTTGCATCTACAAGTCTGTCTCTATTTCGCTTGTTAGTTCATTTTGATCATTTGAGTCCACATATAAGTGAAATCATATGGTACTTGTCTTTCTCTGACTGGCTTATTTCACTTAGCATGATAATCTCCAGGTCCATCCATGCTGTCGCAAAGGGTAAAATTTTCTTCTTTTTTATGGCCGAGTAGTATTCCATGGTGTAATGTACCACAGCTTTTTTTATCCACTCGTCTACTGATGGACACTCGGGCTGCGTCCAGATCTTGGCTATTGTAAATAACACTGCAATGAACATAGAGGTGCATATATTCTTTCGAATTGGTGTTTTGGGTTTCTTTGGATAAATTCTCAGAAGTGGAATTGCTGGGTCACAAGGCAGTTCCATTTCTAATTTTTTGAGGAACCTCCATACTGCCTTCCACCGTGTGCACTGAATACAGAGAAAGGACAGAGCACATCCACCCTCGGGAGGGCCAGCCAGCCAGGCAAGTGTGAACTACAGGAGTGCCAGCAACGTTCAGATGAGGGCACTGACCCTGGGCACACCCACCCCAGTGAGGGCTATGAGCCCTCAAAAGCCAGATGTTTCCTGAACACACCTTTAGCAACACCAAGAACCTCCTGCCAAAGCATACTGTTTTCATTCCTGTTTCTCCAACCGACAAACTCCTATTCATCCATGAAGACCCAACTCAAAAGACCCTATGAAATCTCCCCACAAGTCAAAGTGAAGGTTCCATTTTCCTGAAACAACATGCTCTCATGGGAAATAGCATTTCCTCTTTTCATATCCCTTCAACAGCTCAACCTGTCACCCATGTGCACAGCTAAGCATCAGCTCCCTGTCTCTAGGCTCAGCCCACCTCCTCCCCCACATGGTTATTTCTCACTGGAGGACAGAGCCCGACTGGTGATGAAGAGCAGGGCAAACAGCCTGAAGGAAAGCTGTATGGAGGACAGGTGGGGAGACCAACATCCATCTGGTTCCCCCAAAGCAGTAACCTCAAGAAAGTCACTTGCTGGCCTAGTCTCAGCATCAGCATTGAGGGCAGGAGAGTCAGGGTCAAGTTAGCTGACCTCGGAAACTCTACTGAGCCACCCAGGAGACCGCATCTCAGACGACCAGAAGCAAACCCCCAAAGGTCTCCCGCAGGAGCCTGGGGCTCCTGCTGCCACTCCCACGTGCCAGGCTCCCCTCTCAGAGCCCATCATCCCCTCAGAGCGTCTCCATTGCACCAAAGCCCTGGAGGCAGCAAGACGCAGGGACAGGGGCAGCCCCACCGCCCAGGCTGGAGCCTCGCTCACATTCAGAATTCTGTTTGTCACGTGGAAATGGCAGGTGACAGACTCTGCTAGAAAAGGCAGCAGGAAAAAGCCTTTATTCGCTTCCCGGCCTGCTCCAATCGAGGCTGACAATTAGACTCGATGGGAACGAGACTTGCATCGCAATTAACTCTTGAATTCCAACCTTGGAACAACAACCTGTCATCAGCGCACACCCGAAGTCGGTCCACTCCAGAGACCTGGTGAAACTGCATCAGGAAGATCTCCGCCCACGGCTGCCATTTATTTATCACCAGAGCAGCAGGTGCATATTGTCACCCAGCCAGGCATGCACTAATAGCCTGCTACTTTGTGTTGTTATTTGCTCTAAAATTAAGAAAAGGCCATATTTCATCTTCTACATTGGCCACCTACGAATAGTCATTATGACTATAAATCAAAGAGAAAGAAAAAGACATTATGACACTTGGCTCCGCCCCATGCTTGACTCAGACATACTTCCTTTTCCAAGCTGGTACCTCCCTGCCTCCCTGCAGACCAGCTTCAGAACATGCGTGTGCACTCACAGACACATGCAGACGCTCACAGACACATGCAGACACTCACAGACACATGCAGACGCTCACAGACACATGCAGACACTCACAGACACATGCAGACGCTCACAGACACATGCAGACACATGTAGGCACTCACAGACACATGCAGACGCTCACAGACACATGCAGACACTCACAGACACATGTAGTCACTCACAGACACATGCAGACACACCATACACGTTCAGAGACACACACAAACACACTACATACTCAGACACAGGCAGACACACAGACACACGATGCACACTCACAGACACACAATACACACTCACAGACACATGATACACACTCACAGACACACAATACACATTCTCAGACACAGGCAAACACACTATACAAATTCACAGACACACAATACATATTTACAGACACAGGCAGACACACTATACACACTTACAGACACCATACACACACACAGACATAGGCAGAAACATGATACACACTCACAGACACACAATACACACTCACAGACACAGGCAGACACACTATACAGACTCACAGACACAGGATACACACAGAAATACAATACACATTCACAGACACACTATACACACTCACAGACACATGCAGACACATGATACACATTCTCAGACACAGGCAAACACACTATACACATTCACAGACACACAATACATATTCACAGACACAGGCAGACACACTATACACACAGGCACCATACACACACACACATAGGCAGAAACATGATACACATTCACCGACACACAATACACACTCACAGACACATGATACACACTCACAGACATAGGCAGACACATGATACACACTCACAGACATAGGTAGACACATGATACACACTCACAGACACACGATACACACTCACAGACACAGGCAGACACATGATACACACTCACAGACACGGCACATACTCACAGACACAGGCAGACACACGACACACACTCACAGACACAGGCAGACACACGACACACTCACAGACACACGACACACACTCACAGACACAGGCAGACACACGATACACACTTGCAGACACAGGCAGACACAAGATACACACTCACAGACACAGGCAGACACAAGATACACACTCACAGACACAGGCAGACACACACTCACAGACACAGGCAGACACACTGTATTCCCCTTTATTTTCTCTGCACACTGAGCAGCACTCGTCTCCGTCTGGGTGTCTCTCTTCTCATCCTATCTGAATGAAAATGGACCCAGCTCCTCTGTGAGCAGCCAGCCAGCTCTGCTTCTCACTCCCCATCACTCCCCAGGGGCACGTAGAAAGGGTTTTGTACTTTGTGGTGGAAACAGGCAACGTGAGCAGAATCCTTTCTGCCCTGGCTGACTGGTAGCTGCGGGCCCACACCTGTCGTGGACCCTGCCCCAGGACCTTCCATTCCCAGGGTGTCCCCTCCAGGGCGTGATACTGTGCAGAGGCAAAGGTGGCCTGAACATCGAGGGACCCAGCCCACCCAGCCCCCAATCACCAGTTTCCTGCCCAACCACAGGTGAGACAATTACCTTCCGGTCTGGTCTGCTCACCTGGGGAAGGGACTGAATAACTCCCTCCTCAACCCCAGGGTTTTTGCAGAAGTGCTGAGATGGATGCACACACTCACTAACATAATAGAGAGGTTTTGTGCCGGCTTGTGCAGGGAAAAGATCAATGTCAAAGGACTCCTCGCACAGACAGACAGCAGGTCTGTCTCAGACGGACCACTGAGCAGGTGCAGCGACTGCATCTACTACAGAGCAACGGAAAGCTTAGAAACAGGAGGACTGTCACCCAACAGAGCCTCAAAACAGAGTTGATGACACGTCCAAGCCAAGAACAGTTCAGTGTGGTAGCCAAATAAAACTACACAAGCCCACCAGCATGTGGATTGTACCACACACGTTAACAACAGGCATGTTACCATTCTCATGATGGAGACCTTCCATGAAAACCAAAGTCTCTCCGCTTGGATTCACTGTGACTTTACCGTTTTTCTTTGTATGTTCCCCAGAGCAATGACTACCAGCACATGTAATGAATCCCAGTACCTTGCACAGTTTTACTCCCACACTTACACTGAAGCACCATTTGTTGACTGGTGACCATGCACCTTTCATGGGTTAGCTTGAGTCCAACAAACATTCCTGCAAAGCACCCACTGCCATCTTACAGAGGAGGCAATGGGCTCAAAAAGGTTAATGATATGCCCAGAGCCCGCTCAAAGCCTGGTCTGTCTCTTATGTTTCTCCCCAAAACGACCTCCAGCCCACTGTCCCAGGCTGTCCACACAGGGCTCACCTGGGCACAGAGGCGGGGGCCAACCATGAGCAGTTCTTGATGGGGCTGAGAGTCCAGACCCTCAGCCTGTGCTCTCCACCCTTCCTTCCCACCTGCACCTGCAACCCTTCCTCTTCTAGGGGCGTGGCACAGACCTGGGGCGAGGACAGGCCAGCATTCTCACCTGCATGCG